AAGTATCCATACATACGTACGTACATACGTAACATATTATTATAGTTACAGAATAAAAAAAACTGTTTCATTCTACATAGTGGGCTTAAATGGAAGTTCTTATTACTATTACTACATAGTAAGAGGAGATGGTTTAACACAAAGGTATTTATAAAGGCTTTGTGCACAAATTAATTAAAGCAAATATTAATATGTAATTAAAAACTGATTAAAAAAGTAAGCCTTTTACAAATTTCACATAACCATTGGGCACTATGTTAAGTATATACATATATATGTGTTTATATGTGTCAAAATGTGAGCATAACGCACTTTATAAGCAAAAATTTAAGCAATCTTGAAAGCAATTTATTAATATATCAAGATATCAAAATGATAAAATTACATCAATTATTAACAATTAATCAATATTGAATGAATGAATAGATAAATCCGCTCTTCAGCTAAATATCTAATAATGGATGTACAAATAAGTTCCGTACCTTGAAATTGAATGCTTGACTTGGAATGAAAATGCAGTAAGCTGCGAAACAATTTGAAGTTACACCCGCGGTCCTTTTTTACACGATTTCGAAGTAGCACGATTTACAAGTGGAAGCAAATACACTTTTTTGTAACGAATTTTTTTTTTCTAGGTCGAATATATGATGAAAAAATCCATTCATCATCGTTCCATTATAATAAATGTAATAATAATAATGTAATAAATCGAAATAATTGTACGTAGCGTGAGGAGCGTGCATCTGCTGAAGTCACGATTACGTTCTCAAAATTTGTAGTAAAAGACATCTCTTCTTTTTCGTTTCTAATATGACCAAGCACTTAGAAAATGACCCTGAGAGAGAAAAGTGTTGGCAGAGAGAGATAGGAAGAGGCCATGTTCAAATGGATAACTGAGCACTCAATATAACTAAGAACAACAAGCACGGTTAACCCGCACTGAGATTTGATCGCGGAAACCACCGACTTGATAGTCGCGACTCTTATCTAGTCAGCAAATCCGGTAGTCCTACCTTCGAGAACCACTCGAATTAGTCTAAATTGAGTAGTGGGTTTTCCCCTTCTCTCTTGAATCTTGGTCTCACACAATCTTATATACAGCTATGAAGTTGGTCTTAGATATTTCCTTATTACAAATTTGTGAACCCATAAAATTGTTTATACAAATAGAAGAAAAGTTCGGAGAACGGTGATGGGTATAAAAGATTCGGTCCCGACCGAATTTAATTTTCTTACTTGTTATTATGAGGACGTGTGGGCGTTGCGAATAGTATGGGTGGGTCATTTACAAATTCTTTTGCAAGTTTGCGAGCGACATCTTCAACTTGAAATTTTTGCAAGCGACCCCTATTACTATAATACTGCTAAGGTTTTAATGAATCATAGATTACGTTTCATTCCTTAACTTAAGTGAAGATATGAAGAGTTTTTCATTTTCAAAGCGACTTGCAACTGACTAGAATATCTTATATTTCTCCTGTCACCATTGCAGCATAAATACATTCGTAGTGAAAACTGTTTTGCATAAGGATGCTTACATGAAGACTTTTTTTGTTTTTTCTTAAAAACAACATAACTCTTCGTTTTCTGTTTGCAGTAACCCGTCCAGCCATCATTTAAAAAGGAAAGTAGGTAAAAACAAAAGAACATTTCTTAAAGAAAAAGCAACGTTTGTTATTGCTTCAAGCGTACTTTACGCAAACGCATGCATATTTTAGGTTTGAAATGTTTAAATTTATTGTGAACTTAACATTAGTTTTACATTAGATTAGCATAAAAAGAAAAGTAACGTTTCTTCCTTTAAGAAAGAAGAAGAAGACTCATTATTCAAGTGCTGTCTATTACATTATTATGCAATGAAAAACAAGTAAGAACATTATAGTCGGGCAAGACGGACCATTTGATACCCTATAGAATTTCGCCCAGTAAAATTATTCACTCATTTTAATAATAATACAACAAAAATCACGCATTATTCTAATGCAAACGTAAACTTCCCATAAATGCCCCCATATTGGAGTACGCGACAAAACTTCACAAGACGGGATCGAAATTTAAGAAAGCCTTAATTTACTTCCCAAAAATTTTATTATTTTTAATTTGTAGTTTCTCTCATACTATCTGTCGATACAATTGCTTGCGTTTCATCGCAACCGCCTCTTCTTCCTCTAGGGTTTAAAAGAGAGGCCTACTTGATCCAAATTTCGTATCGTAAGTTTTTTTGCTAAATTGCTACAAGTTTTATCATACAATATTATTAATTAAAACCTTTTCTGAAGGGCTAACTATTCTTGAGAAATCTTGTATGGAGTGTGTGAACCAAGAACTAGATCCATATGCTTCAAATCGAGTCCACTTTATTCTCATCATAAAACATTAACAATAAGGTGGAAACTGTTTTTGGCACATAAGGCTTTACATATCACGAGAAATGGTTGTGACAAGTCAGATTAAGCATAGCGCGACTATTCTAAATGTTTACTTAATAACAATTCTTAGATATTTATAGATTTCATCCCTCGGGTATAAAGTATATTAAGGTTGTGCGGAAAATCTTATGATAGACTCACCTTTTATTATGCCGATCGATTTAGAATCACTTTCTGAATCAATTTAATCTTGTCTGTCCGTCTGTGCGTTTGATGTTTTATGTTTAACCTACAGGCCACTATTTTTGAGATATTTGGATAAAATTGGATACACTGACGTGTTTCGACTTACGGACAAGAAAATTGATTGGGTAAAGAACTTAATTGAATTAGGTAGATAAAGGGAAACTGTGAACGCGCATTTTAGGTAAATTTTTTAAAATATGTGCGTGCGTCGTTTTTGCAAGCAAAATACTGATTTATTTATGAAAACAAGAGAAAATCATTTCGTTCATATTTCGGTCTATAAAATGATTATTTGCACTTTTATTATTTGCCGACGAGTAGAAGAAGAAGAAGAAATTGAATTTAATAAAATAAACTGAAAAAAAAACGTCGAAATAATTGAAAATAAAGTTAATTAACTAAAGAAAATGATGGAAGAGTAATGAATAAAAGGATTATGCAATAGGCAAAAAATATGCGACAAGCACTTTACTCTTGAACTTAAAATTCTCATCTTCTTTTCACAAAATTCTCATCTTCTTTTCACAAATTTTTGCCTTCAAAAATCATTTTTTAAAGAAACTTTTCACTTTTCTCGCCTTGCGTTCTTTCATATGCAAAATTCTTGCCTTCAATGCTAGCAGTTTTAATGTTTTAAATAATGGTAATACTACCTTTCACTCTAATCTGAGTGGTAGCACGGCGAGTAGTGTCTTGGATCTAATCTTTTCTAATTTGATTATTTTATCATTCAACTGGAATACGACTAATGTCTCTCTCAACTGGCAAAAGTCAACACACTCCCATTTTATTTCACAGTCGCAGCAATTCCATTAAAAAAATAGAAAATTTCATTTCAGGTAACTTCGTTGTGGACTGTCTGTCTAGAATTAATCTCCCTTCCGATTTGTCAAAGCGCTTTTCAGGCTGAGATCAAATCTGCTAGAACCAACTTTTCTGATATTGTGTTCTTCTCACCTAAACATTGGTGGAAGTCTTCCCTGTCAACACTCTTTCGAAAAAGAGAGTAACTATGCCAATCCAGCCAACTTCATTGAATATATGAAAACACTGAAATAATGGCAGCCTGCCAGTTTGAAGGACCTAAAGGACACATAGATCTATCACCAGTTATGTGATAATAGCAACTCGCGTTTTTTTCTGGAATTAAATTAAGGGTCATCGACATTTTAGTCGAAAACTAAACGGTTGTACTGTATAGAATGATCATGATAATAAAAGATACTTCGATACGCTCAAGAGCTATATTTCAAGTATCAAAGTACTTCCCATCCCTAAGGCAGGTAAAAACTTAAATGATTTAAATAACTTCAGACCAATTTCGTTAATATCTGTATTCATAAAGATTATCAATCTCATGGTTAAGGAGACACTAAGGGATTTCTTGAAAACTGAGAGCATTGTTCCAACTCGATTGTGTGTCTGTCAACAACGCAAATCGTTAATGAACTATTTTTTCTTGTAGCAGGGTTAAAAATTGTTGGTAAAAAGATTGTTATGCTTTACCTGGACATTAGCAATACTTATGATTGGATCATTTCATTTTCTCTTCAAATATGTCTATGGATATTAAACTTTTTGTCCAAGCGTGTAAAGTTGATATATACGGTGATATTCCACAAGGCAGTTACTTAAGCCCCATACTCTTGAAACTACATACAGCTACTTTGCATGATCTTCAAGACCACAAAACTTATATTTTTCAATATACAGATGATTTCCTAATTATATCATATTTGTCAGTGACTGTGAACGAACTCTCGATAAAAGCTAACCTTTTTTTTTGATGCATGCGCCGATCTTAATTTATACTTTAACCAAAACAAATATTAATTATTTTGCCAAAGGTTCTAAACGCGAAAGTTATCAAAGGAGCTAAAGTTAATCAGGTGAAATCTCTTCAGTTTTTTTGGTAGAATTTTAAATTTTAAATGACAGCCTAACTCTTTGTGAGCATACAAAGCGTGCAAAGACTATCAATCTGGATGCAACATCATCAAACTCATGACTAATAATCAGTCAAGCTAACCTCTCAACATACCATGCGATATTTGAGCCTGCTGAGCATTTAATTTTTAGATGTCACTAGCTTGATGGTATTAGAAGTTCTTTTGGCATCTTCAAGTTATATGATGGTCTCCTCCATCTCTTTGCAGCAAAAAATGTGCGTCATTTCAGGAAACTAACTTGCTTTATTAAAAAAGCGAATTTATATTTTTAATGCTTGATAATTTTTTTTGTGTTTTTTTACCTTCAATTATAGTCTATCTTTATAACATTCCACTTTTGTTTTCAGCTAAAGTTTGCAACACTTTTTTTACATCACTTTCAACAACTCAACAATCTACAATTACACTTAACATATCTGTTGTGTTTTACATACGTTTCTTGTTAATAATTACTACTGTTTATTATCTGGACAAAGAAGCCACATATTTATTCGCTTAGTCCGCTTCAACTCAACATCCAAAAAAAAAGAAAAACATTTAAGGTATTTTCAAAAAGCAAAGTCTAAATCATAAAAGAAATAAGAAGTAGTAAATTATTTATTTAGAAAAAGGCAGCAAAGGAATCTTTCGCGGCTTTCACGTGAAATAACTGATTTAACGTGAAGAACTGTAAAGAGCAAGTAATAAACAGTATTTACAATTAATATTTTCCTATATTAATGCTAAAATTTGATTACTATATTTTTTTTCATCTCTTTTTTTTTTTTTGTAACTTTGAATTAATTCTGTGTTCAGCAGTGACAATCGAAGTCTCAAATACATTCAAAGATGGGAACGCAACAAATCTATGTAAATAAAAGATAAATTATTAATAAATCAAAGGTTTTGTAAAACCTGGAAGACTTCAATTTTTACTATGCTAAAATTTCGTTGTAGGCTCCCTTGTCAACCCCCATACACGATATTAGTGATAAATTGGTTTCAATATCGGTACGTGACTTAAATCGCACATTAAAATTTCGTGGCTTAAATCGCCAAGAAATTGTTCGCATGAAACAACGACGTCATAATTTAAAGAATCGTGGCTACGCAGCCAGCTGCCGCACTAAACGTATCGAACAGAAAGATGTTTTGGAATCAGAAAAGTCGCATGAATGGGTAGAACTAGAAGAAATGCACAAGAAGAACGAACAATACAGGAAGGAAATTGAAAATTGGAAAAAAAACTACCTTCCTTTGTTCGAATTTGCAAGACAAAATGATATTCTAATACCAACGGCATTAGACATATGTTAAAGTAAAGCAGTCGACATTACGTGCACCGATATTTTTGGGAGCTCTAGCTTTTATTTCATTTATTTTTTTTTTTGTTTTTTTTTTTTTTTGGATGTTGAGTTGGAATGGACTAAGGCAATAAGAAATGTGAGATATATCCAAACCGTTGCAATTAGATATAAAAATAAATAAGCGCTTAGCAATATGAAGATGTACAAATTCTTAAAAATAATATTACATTCCTTGCAACCAACAATAATGCAATACATTAAGAAATTATGCAAATTTTAAATAAAGTATATAGGGATAAAAAATTGTGTGAATAGAATATATGTAACTTTTTTAAACCGTCTTAAGTAATTCCTCATCGAACTGAAAAATCCTATATTCGCCGTTGAATATAAAGTTATTATTAATTGCAGGAGAATTTATCGCCTTGCTACATCCATGTCTGTATTGAATATTTTAGATCTTGGCCGATACTTCTATTTTATTTTAAATCCATATTTCATTCATATTGCTCAAACTTTGCCTATGGTGTTCTACGAAAAATATATATTTGAAATCCCAGCTTTTCATTTCAATTTATGCGAGCGTCGGCTGAAAATCGTTGCAGTTTCTTACTTTTATATTGTTTGCATATTTACTTATCATCGAAATTATTTATGCCTCACTGATCCGTTGTATCGATATTATAAGTAATACAAGTGGAATGAAAGAGCTAATTCGTCCGTTCTTCGATGTCAGCGAATAGAAATTAACTCTACACCAAAGCTAAAAATATGGGAACAAATTTATACATTTCATTCTGAAAATTTCGAGAAATTCATCAAGTTTTTAAATATCAAAAACTTGGCGTAGCAAAAACTTAAGGGAAACCTAAATGATTCTTCAATCTAATTTAACCTTTACTTTTTAATATATCTCTCACTGAATATTTAAAATATATCCCTACAACCCTAAAAAAAAATTCACAAAATTTGGCAGCTCTAACAAAAATAAAACTAAAGTAATTGTGCAACGAAAAAGAGGAAAAAAGCCGAGACAGAATTATAAAAAATTGTCACAAGCAAAAGCTAAATAAATATGCTTTAAAAGTACTTAAAGAAGCTTCGTGTTACTTGAAATTATAAATAACATAAATACATAACAAAGCAATTATCGTAAAAAAAAGACCAAAGGAAACTTAAGACGATAATAAAAAAAAATGGCCACCACTGATATACCAAACTCCAACGAACGACATTATTATGCCAAATTGGAAGCTATAAAAGATATACGTGATAAGACTATAGCTTTGGAAAAATTGAAAGTTCGTATCATAAAGGAGGTGAAGCTAAGCGATGATGAGGAGAAATGCTTGGATGAATATCGTAAAGAATTGGAACATTTATTAGAAGAGAAGATGTCGCATGTGGAAGAACTACGGCAAATACATGCCGATATAAATGATATGGAGAATATAATCAAGCAAACAAAAGAGAATCAAACACGCTCCGTAGATATGGCCAATCGCCATTATGAAGAATATTTGGCTTTAAAATATCAAATCGATCATATGAGACGTGATTATTTGGGCTTAAGCCCTCTAAGGGATTTACATGAAGAGGAGGGAAGCCCTATCTCTAAAGACCGCTTTCAAAGCAATTTTCTAAAAGTCGCTGCACAATCTGCCGCTGCGGCGGCAGCAGCAGCAGCAGCGCAAACGTCCGCCTTAGCTCGACCACATCCCAGACATCCTTTAATGCCTGAAGCCACAGTTACAGCCTTACCACCATCGGCTCCCGGTAGCGGTGGCTCGGCACCTACAGGACCAACAGGCGGTCATGCATTCATGCCTCCTGCTCCTCCAGGTTCGGGGGCGACACCAGGCGCTGGCGTACGCTTGGGAAAAGGTGATTTTTCAGCTCCCCCACCACCGCCACCGCCAACAAATCGTCTTCAGCAAACCCCTTCCATTAGCTTAGGTCATCACCCTACATTTCGTTCGGATTTTAATGTTAATCTCAGACAGCAGCCACCGCCTATGAAATCATGCTTATCGTGTCATCAACAAATTCACCGAAACGCTCCAATTTGTCCACTTTGCAAGGCTAAATCACGTTCCCGCAATCCCAAGAAACCAAAAAAAAAGAACAACTAATGGTTACTGTAAAAAAGCAAAATTGCCACTTTCACCCCTACTTCAGGGACTAATTGAGCATAGAGGTAAGTCATTTTAATTCAGTTCGTTTTGATAACGTTCGATTATTGTCTCTGCAATGCGCAATTTTTTAAATAATTTGTTTGTGTTTTTCTTTCCCTTTATACGTATTAACATTTCAATTATAACAGTATTATGATCACACAAAGCACTCAAACGTAAAAACACAACTTGCCATTATGTAGATTATAATTTGAATTTTTATTAATATTTCATATTCTTATGAGCGCGAATAATTACAGTATTTTCTATAATTGAAAAGAACATCTAATAACACATATAATATTCAATTTATATAATGTAACAGAAATTTTTATTCTTAAAAATTTTGAATGATATTTACATTATTTTAAAATACTGTTACATAAACATAAAGCGTTTGCTATCTTATCTCAAAGACTAATGAATATCAAGTAAGATACTTTGCTTTTACTTTAGTAATTTTTAAATTTAGTTATGATTTCATTTAAGCTCACTCTAAAAACATCCAGAAAATGTTCTCTAAGATTTTCAATTCCCGAAAATTCTGCAAATTTTTTAACAAAATATAATTACAGACTTAGTAAGAAACTTAACATGTGTCAAATGCAATTTAATGCAATTTTATACAAATTAAAATTGAAGGAATAAATATAAAAAAATAACCTGTCAATAAGAAAGAGAAATTGTTTTTTTATTTAGATGCAATCATTATGTTAATTCATCTTGAGGTACTTGCGGCACTGGTAAAGCTAAAATTTCTCTTAAGCTGTCACTACCTTCTAAGGACGGTATACTGGGGGCATCTTTGCTTCGCAACCATAATTGAATACTCTTCGCTTTCCAATTATTGCCGGCAAATGGATCGCGCAATAAGCCGAACACACATTCAAACACTCCTACGCATCCGTGCTGACTGTGCAGAGTGCCACAAGCCAATACTAAAACCATCCCATGTATATCCATACGTCCCTGTACCCCGCCATGCGATAAATTTGGATTGTAAAAGAATCCAAATTGATTTTTTGCTTCAGAGAGAATGTGTAGCAAGGAGGTAGAATCCTGACATTCATTTGCATTGCAATCCTCGCCAACTAAAATTTTTAATAGCATACTTGCGTCGGACCAAAAATCTTCCATCTTGAGAGAGTTTTTATTGTATAGATCAAAAAACCACTCTGTGAATTTTCTTGCAAGTGTATGAATAGGAAATTCACATTCAGCCACTGTGGGAATAAATTTTGGAGTGCTTTTTGGCTGTTGAGTGCTGGTGCTAGGCGAAGTTTCTTCTGTAAGAGCACAGAAATCATTTGTTTGTAAAGTTTTTTCAAACTCCTTAATCCAATAATTTATAACTTTTTTGACTAGATTATGTTTAGTGAAATCCACGGTTACCGCGACTTTTTTTTTATGTAGATACTTGAAAAGAATTTCTTTCGTTATAATTCTTTTATTTAATAAAGTCGACAAATCCTCGCTGTGAACACGTATATAATCCAAGGCCTCTGCAAATTACGTTTAATATATGAGAAAAAAACAGCGTATATAAAAATTGTAGGCTTACTTTGTCTGGAGTCTATATCAGTTATATTTTTTGTGATATTCCTTGCCAACTGCATAAGAACGGGGATATCTTCCTCCTGTAATAAATCACTCACTCCAGATAATTCCCAATCCTTTAAAGGCATTATTAATCTCCGTTTTCCGCACTTTATTCAAAACGCTCTGACTGCCGAAAAATATTGAAGTTATAAAATGTTTAGTTTTTCAAGTTGTGAGTTGCCATTGAACGATTCTTAGTATTGCATAGAGTTGTTTCTTAATATTTTGCATAAATGTGGGGGCTGACACAATCAGGCGTCACTTTCATTTTCGGGTTAAAGAATCCCAAACGGTAAACTCAATCGGCAGCCACGCTATCATACTGTTTCACAGGAAAATTCAAACAAAATAAAGAAATCAACGTAATTATGTACAAAAAATTTATAATGCGGTTTGAGATATTATTTCGAGATTTATTTATAATCTGCTTTAATTTTATTTTATGACACCATCGAAAACATTTTTGTGAAATTAATTAGTCTGTAGTTTGGAGATCATTTCTTATGACTCCCTAATAGAAAAATTTCAAGAGGATAACTTCTAATGGCTATCAACATAATAGAGACAAATTGCTAGGCCTGGAGGAAATACATTTAATTAATAAATTTTTCGCACAGTGGAGGAGCAATTTAACTTAAAAATCCTGATATATATATTGTATATGGGTGTACTTACTAGATGTATAACTTAACATTTACAAACGTGCGTTGAAATGTCGTACGCAGTAACTTCAATGAGAAACAGCATTATCAAATTATTTTATATGTAAAAAAAAAATAAGCAAATCGATGTAAATATAAACGGAAACATATGGTTTGAGAAGTAAAACTAAAGAAATCAAAATATATACAAACAACGATTATATGAAAAACAAAGGGAAGAAAATTAACATAAAAGCAAATTACATTTTTGATTGATTATTGACTTAAAGAATGAAAACAAAATAACTGATGCAATAAGACAAAGCAAAAGAATCGCCTAAATGTTGTCATTTGGCAAATATATTGAAAATTAATCGTCTAGAAATTTTATGTCACTTGATGACACATGTGAACTGTCCAATAAAATAGAATATTTAGCTACCGCAATATACAAAAATATCAAAAGGCCCTTTAACATCTTCAATATATATAATGATCTATGTAATCTCCTCAATGCTTCATCACCTTCAACCGAAAAGAGCTGTAACTGTCGGTGCTAGTCAGTCGGTGGTTAGTACATAACAAAAAATTGAGAATATAACCAACACCGATAATAAAAGATTTAAAATCTTTACTAACGTAGTTATGCACAAATATATATATAACAATTTTAAAAATGTTGTATAATTTTTGAACGCAACTAAATCTTACTAAATAGTTGTATACGATTTTCTAAAGAAATCGATTAATATTTGTGCATTATTATGTTCATAACTATAAGATGTATCCAATTTATAGTATAAGAAGTTTCAATTGTTGATTTGTACCGTTTGACGCAGATGGTGCAGATGGTGTACTTCATGAGATATCTCCATTCTAATCTTTAATGTAATCTTTAATTTAAGATTTAATGCCTGCGTGAGATACCGTTCCAGAATTGTCACAATCCCATTTTATTTCAATATATTTTGATTTAGATGAATTGATTGATGATGTACTGCATGTCCCTTATTCAATTCAACTATATAATGCAAGTAATCTAGTCGCCCTGTCCTAGTACTCATTTTCACAATTAGGAAATTTTTTTTGTACTAAGCTTATACTTCCTTCCACCCAAATTTGCTTTTCGGGTTATTTGAATGATTGTTGTCATAAGAATTTTAGGGATAAGATAGCGTTTACCCTACTTCTTAATTCACGGCTTAGGTAAACACGAATGAAAGTCTTGCGCTACTCAGTTGAAGTCCTACCTAAAGACACGACCTAGTGACCTAGTCATCTTCCTGTACACTTTACTTTACAATCTACCTTTATAGCAAAATTTTGCGAAACACTTTACTTTTCACAACTTTAAAGAGGGCGCATCGATTTCACAGTTCGGTTGCGATTTGAATGATTTGCGAACACTGACATAGTAGCTCCGATTCTTAGATGCTCCCGTATTTAGGTGGTTAAAAAATAACAATTAATTAATAAAAACGCAGCAATATCCATGCACAAGGTAAATATTTACTTTAGAAATATATTTGGAATGGGTGCGAATCGATAAATATAAATGAAGCGTACATTTTTATATTTTAATGTAATAAATTACACGGGTTAAAACCCGTTTCCGCCTTTTTAAAACATATCACTTTGCCTGTATTTTTCGCAAACATTTCGGCCAATTCTTCCATTGTCATAGTTTTCTTATGTATTCTCTTCATATGGTTAGCGAATCTATTTAAAAAAATTTTTCTGTAATACTAAGGTATTTACTTTAATTTTAGTATTTTATTATTTACCTTAATCGTCTTTCAAATACTACATGTGGGCATATTTCGCATATGTAAGGCATGCCAGTGTGTTTGAATAAATGAGATTTCAATTGGTTGCGATTTTCGTAAATAACATCGCAATAGGGGCAAGGATGTCGGACTCCTGGATGCCTCTGTAGATGATAGGTGAGACGCACTTTTACCGGAAATCGTTTATCACATATATTGCAAACGTAAGGTCTGTCTCCAGTATGAGTACGCTTATGAATATTCAAATCTGTTTGGCGGGGATATGATTTGTCACAGTTTTCACATTTAAATCGCCGTTTCTTATGCAAACGCTTATGAGCGGAAAGTTGCGAATGACCTTTAAAGGTGTTGCCACATATTGTGCATATACAAACCGGATTCTCGGCTTTTTTATGATCGATCAGATCGTCTAAAGTAGAGGAACGTGTGCCGCAGTTATTGCATCTATGCAAAAGATTGGAACTTGAGTTATGGCTATTGAATTCATGTTCATTAAGATCTTCGTCCTTGTGAAAATGTTGAGCTGTGAGAAGGTAAGGAAAAAAAGAGAGTGAATGAATATGAACACCGCATTCTTAAACTAAGGATAAGAAAAAGAAGACAATAAATGTTAAATTAATTGAATAAACGAATTTAAAAACATCTGCTCATCTTAACTTGGTCTTTATTCTAAGCAATATTAATAGTTAATAAATTTTTAAAATATTTAAAGCCCAACTTCATGATCCGTAACTATATCTGCATCACTAATGATATCCGGATTCTCTTCAAGTATGTTCTGGTCTTGGTCATCTTCGTTTCTTGGAATCACCTCAAAGTCATTGATTTGTTTTATTATCGTAGCCTTTCCCGTATAATGTTGAAACATTTCCGCTAAAGCTTCATCGCTCATCATAGCATGATGAACTCTTGCCAAATGACGTTTGAATCTATAAAGACACGAAACATATTTAAATAATGTTAGCTCTTCGTTGCGCAAAACGATCACTTACACATTCCTGGTTGGAAAACCATGGCCATCACACAACTGACAGCGATACGGCATACCGGTATGTTTAAAAGAGTGAGCCTTTAATTTCTGCCTTGAATTGAATTCGGCCTGACATTCCTTACAACGATGCTTAACACCATAATGCTTTTGCAGATGATAGGTTAGACGCACTTTGATGGCAAATCGTTTCTCACACAAATGACAGGAATAAGGTAATTCCCCTGTATGCGTTCGCAAATGCACGTTCAAATCAAATTGCCGCGCATACTTCTTATCACAATGCGGACAGGGTATATTCTTTTCCAAATGCAATTTCATATGATTCATTAATTGATTTTTCAATTTGAACGCATTACCGCATAGCGAGCAGATATTATCTCGTTCTTTGTGAGCTTGTTTACGATGAGTTTCAAGTAATTGCTGTGTACTATACTGGCGACTACAATCGTTACACACATATACCACATTAGGTGACGTCTCCTGATGTATTTTCTCATGTTGGTGTAGATTTCTTTGGTTTTTAAAGCCGCTTGCTAAGAATTTAGAGCATTCTTTTAATTCTCCAATTGATTTTTTTTCAATTTTTTTCTTATTTTCATTTAATTCACTAAAACTGAAAAGACTTTAGTGTTGTATGTACTAATATCGTCGTCGTTTCTAAATTGAAAACTATCGACTGCGCTTTCAACTTTCTCGTATAAACTGTTTGCGAAAAAATTCAAAGTAAGTAAAACTATATTCCCATGAGCGACTTAGAGCGCCTAAGCAAGCCTTACGTATTTAGCGTTTTGCTCCTAGTTTTCAATTATCTCGTATTCCCAAGTATCCCAAAAATCCTTTTCGAATTAGAAATCTTAACGAACTAAATTCTCATTCAAAAAAAAAAAAAAGCAATAACAGACCGACCAAAATCTTAATATTTTTTGTATGCAAGCTATACTTACGACAATAAGCGCAAAGGTATTGAGTTTTAGTCAGCTGAGCTTCACGTGCCTTTTTTTCATGCAACGCCAAATGTTTCTCTAGGTTCTTAGACATTAATTTCTTTTTACAAAATTTACATTGCACAAAAGATTCCCTTTTATCCAACTTATTGTTGTTCACCAATTCCAGAGGTAGTTGTTTATCTTTTTCCTGATAGATTTCTCGATTATCGGATGAAGAGATTCCAGAATGAGAACTGTGCAAAGACACATCGCCTTCCAAATTTTCCTCCATCAAGTCATTAGATTGCTTAGCCTCTACCGCAATATTTACATTCTCATAATCCAACTCAAGTGAATGCACGGTAAGAATATGTTTTTGAACTTCGCTAACATTTAAATGCGGACATAGTGGACAACTTGTAGCCTTAATATTATGATTCATAATTTTATGCAATTGAACAGTACTTCCGTGATCAAACTCCAAACCGCAGTTAAGACAAATTTTGTGTTCTCTCTCCATATGTTTATCAAGCAAGTCTTTAGATTCAAAGGTTTTATCGCAAACCTCACAATTATATGTGTCCACATGACGTATAGATTTGTGTTTTTTTAAAGCTTCGCGACATCGAAATTTACAACGACAGTGAGGGCATTTGTAAGGTCTTAGTTGTTTATGCAAATTCATGTGACCCTCATAGGAAACATCGCCGCGCAACACTTTATCACATACCGCGCATTTCCATTTAGGAGAATGTTTTTCCGACTGAGTTTCAACTAAAGCATTATACTCTATTAGGTATTCGTCGTCATTCGTTTCGCTATCACTATAGAAGTTCTCCATTTCATCATTAACAGTGGTCTCTTCTAAAAGATGATCGGTTGGCAGGATTACCTCTTCCGTATGCAGACAAGTGGTAGTTTCAGTCTCCTCAAGGATTTCTTCCACCATTGATAACTCATCCTTTAAATAAAACAAATTAAAACTTTAACAGACTGCTCTTTTTTGTACCGATACTTACATCTTCGTTTTGCGAGTCTTCAACGTTTTCCAAAATCTCTTCCATTACATACTCCTCCGTTAAATCATTAACAACAAGTGCTGAAGTAGTCTCCTGGTTAGGCTCCTGAATATTTTCAGTTTGATTTTCTTCAAAGAAATTTTTCCAATGTTGCCATTCATTTCGTAGCACTTCATCACTTGTTTTGACTTTTAAAGCGAATTTAAAAGCCACCATAACCTCTTTAACACATTCGAAACATATCCATTGTGGTAAGCCATCATTTTTTGCGATTTTTATATTCGACATTTGATAAATGAAGTCAGCATAGGTAATACCTTCCTTAATTTCACAATCTAATCCATAATGTTCCCCTAATACGCTTTGTTGTGAACATGCACGACAGCGGTCTGCCATAATTACAAATAAAGCGTCTTTCAAAAGAACGCCTTAAATCTTTGTTATTATTTTGGCAGTAAGTATAGCAATTTTATTATTCTTTTGCTTACCGATTAAGAAAAAAAAAACATGAAATTAATTAAACACACATCATCATAACAATGGCGATGTTCATATGGTTCATATGTCTATTTACGGAAGACAATCATAGTAAGATGATAACTGATAAAATTAGAATTGTTTTAGTTGGAGAGGGAATATTTTTTTAAAATAATAATGAGGTGAAAGCCTGTTCCAATATAAAATAAAATATTTATTTGGCTCACACGTGTGATATTATAAGTGAAAATAAGAAAATGAATGTAAATGAGAACAAGTTCCATATAGTTTGAGAAGTAAATATAAGGAAATCTCAGTGTAAATATATAAACGCACAATTGGCAAGAATCAAGATTTCTTAAATTTGGCAACTTTGTGAAGTCCCATTTTGTTTGACACAATGATTGCTTGGATGGCACGATTAACTGAAAATAAATTCGGCACTTGTTTCAATTGGTTATAACAACAAATTGATCAAACTAACATAATTTTAAATAATGTTGTGAAATAGACGTCTATGCTTAATTACATCCTAACGTTGTTCTTGCTCTTTTTTTCTTACAAATTCCTACAATGTTAGTTCTTTTCTAAATACATTTCAATTAAGTTGGATTATGCTTTCCGTTGAAGTACATTTATATCAAACAAACTGAAAATATATACTACCTAAAGTAAAGGTAGCTAATGAAAGCCACGCATGAAAAAAGCAACGTTCTTTACATCTTTGTGAGGCTTCAACACTTAGTTGGTTATTTCACACCATTAGTAGTATAGGTTATATTAAGTAGTGCAGAGGTATGTATGTACGTATGTGTTCAAGGTACAGGTCGCAATTTTTGGTATATTTTGATGAAATTAGGCACACTGACGTGTTTTTACACAAGGACAAATGCTATTGAAAATTATTTGAATCGGTTCACTTTTCAGACCCATCTACATATAACGATCCGATTTACAAAAAGTTATATGGAAAATTGTGCAATTTTCAGAATTTCTGAACAAAAGTAGTTAAATGATAGTAGTTCGGCATTTTAAATTTTGCTGTGAAAGTTTTGCACCGCCTGTGTCAATTCTTTAAATCCTCTCTCATATAACAAAAACTAATTTTCAATGCTTCATGATGGAAATGGCATCTTAACAATAACATAACAGTGATTTCATGTAAAAAATAACTATGCGGAACTTTGAGCACGTACCTCAATTTTTGAACCTGTTGGTCACAACCATTCTTATAAAAACTAAGCTTTTAAAGCTTGCAAAGAAGAAGGTCTACATTTGTTTTCGTTAGAGGAAGACTGCCTTGATTTTGTTGTTGTATTTCAGTTACTGAATTTTAAGAGAAAAGCTTCTTCATAGCTTCTTCATCTGTTAGCCAACAGGAGTTAGAAGCTCTCGCTGATGTGTAAGAATTAGAAAGCGAAATTCGTTCAATTCACGCATACGCCTTGAAAAGTAGTACCATACATGTATATGTATACCATGTTTATATATGGTTGTAAGTATAAGTCTGGTACAATGTGTGGATGTGCTGTAAAACTGCTACCTTTTGCATACATTTTGCAGATATTATTATATATCATAATATATACATGCAATAGCTGAAGTTTTCGTTTGTATAATTTTTAATATACTTTTAGGCGGTCATTTAATTTTGTATAATAGTAAGTGTTCTGATAAGAACCTTAATGAGCCATAAAATTTCAAATTGGCACAAATAAACTGCAAAGGAGTTCGATAAGGTTCGCTTTATAAAAAGTCATTGTTGTATATGCAAACACAAATAAATCTGCTACCTTCGGCGCTCTTTGCTATGTTACATGTGGTCTGCTAGGTTTTAGTGGCAGGCAGGCATATCTTTCATATTCGTTGAAAGACCGTCGTTGAGCATGTCGAGGAATTTGATTTTTATACGCTCTTCGTAATGACTCAGTGCGGATTCATTAAATTAGCATTGAAATGCAAACAGAAAATAAGGAAATGAGAAAAGAAAGTGTTGCTTCTATGTGTAAACTCCTCGTTTTTGTTTACATAATAATGGTTTAGCAATTTTTACAAATCCATCGATTTACAAATAAAACAGTATATCCGTGTATTCATCTTAGTCGTGGTTAACATGGAGCGGAAAATTGGTGAAAGCTGCTTGTTATACGTCTTTGATCAGCGACATTAATTAGCTACAATTTATGTTCTCATGTTTATTCAATTCGTCGAAAGGTAAACTTATTTACTCATAAATGCCTCGTTCTGCCTTGCTGCGCTTGATTTTATTCAAGCATAACTTGCAAGTTTTTTGTGCTAAATTAGTAATTAGACGATAATTGTTAACTTTGTTGAACATATTGTACATATTAACACTAGAACTGTCGAATAGAACATTTTGAACATTTTTAATTTTTGCACTTCTACTTGTACCGAAAACATTTCTTGTATCTAGTCTAGTTTTCGAAATGGCGATGGCATGGCACTATTTCTTTAGAACAGATTAATTTGATATTCTTTTTTTTGTCGAATTGAAATGGAGACGCGAAGCTGAAATTATTCACAAGCTTGTCTTTTTGATCGATTGCGTATTCAAAGTTAAAATGTAAAAAATTTGAGACAAGTTCGACAAAACACCGACAAATGAATGTTTCGTAATTTCGTCTGTATCTATCTACTCCGTGAATGTTCGCTCAGAATGACCTGCATGTTCGGTCCAAAAATGGTCGCGATGGATTAACGAATACGTTCACAATCAACAATGAAATTGAAATTCCAATTCATTTCCAATTGATTCTAGCTCTAGTGTTAATGAAATCAAGTAACGAGTTCGGCCAAGGTCGAATCTCGCATATCCACCAATATTAAAATTTTTGACTTTGGTGAATGAGATAAAATTTATCTCTCACCTTTTAATTCCCTAAATGGTATGAAGTTCACCACTATTGATTTCGAGTTAATATACTTAGCTGTTCCCATTCTACTCTCCGAGTCCTTTTATTTGATACCCATATCGATATCGTTTTTTTAATAAAAATATTAACCCATCATGTCGCGGCATCCAATATATTTATTTTCGAAATAACACATTTTTACGCAGATATAATACTTTCATCTAAGGAACGTACGAAATATTTTTAAACATTCTACCTCGTTTACCTTATGATAGATAAATAATCATAAAATATCAAGAATGTGAAAACACAAATGTAATCACTTGTAACTTTATGTGGGGGCATGGCTGATTTTTTTCATTTTTGCATATAAATAGTAGAGCTTTTCGTAGAGTAAATGTGGAAAATTTCCAGCCCTCTATCTTTTCGAATTTCTGTATAATGAACAAGGGCCAGCAAATATTTGTTTAGAAGAACGGGGTTGCGTTTAGTTTACGCTTCACTATGGAGATTGTGTTCTAACCAATTTGACCCATACCAATCTGCGGGCAAACGCTTCAAGTGTTTCTATTAAATATGATGTGAATATCTTCATTTTTGGAATCATGAGAGCGTCAATAACACACAATACATAGACGGACAGACATGACTTAATCAAATTCACAATTTCCTGCTGATCAAAAAAAAAAAATATATATATATATATATATATATATTTTACAGCGTTTTTGAAGCTTGCTCCTGGGCGTTGCAAGCATTACGACAAAATGAGTATGCCTCCCTCGCATGCTTCAGTGATGGGGTGGGCTATAAAAATCATTTAAAAGCGAATTTTTATGATTTATTTATTTATATTAATTTTTTGTTTTTTTTTATTTATTTATTTATTTATTTTTTTTGTTTTTTTTTTTCATAATTTCGATCACAATAAATTTCATTTATATAATTAAAATGAACTACTTAAATAACTAAGTACATATAGTACATATATATATATATATATATATATATATGTATATATGAATATGTATATTAATTTAGAGAAGTACGTAAGTTTAAAGTTAAATGAAACAAAGCTTATCGAGGAGCAAAGCTAAGTAGTAAAAACAGTAAATAAGGTGGAAATAAGAAAGAGAAAAAAATTATTATTATTTATTTTTTGTTTTTGTAATATATAAAATGTTTCCTCAAAGGAGTTGCGAAAGCAGTGCTTAAAACTTAGCATAATACTGAGCAAAATATTTTAGTGATGAAGAGCTTTTTTCGTTTTTCTTTTATTTTTAATTTTTATTGTTATTATCAATAAACATTTTCATTCTTTAGTGAAAAAGATTTGCAAGAGAAAAAAAAAAAAAAAAAAAAAAAAAAAAAAGTAATAATTTACTATTCTCACTACCGTATGCTGAGAATTTCATTCGGTATTGTTGTTATTTTGCTTGTAATAATCATAAAAATAAAAGTATTTTTTCCTAAACTTTGTACTTAACATATAAGTACTTAACATATAAGTATAATGTAAGTGAAAGTATATAATTTGTGTGTGTTTGTGTGTTTGTGTGTGTGTGTGTGTGTGTGTATGTGTAAACTTTAAAGCTCGTGAAATGATTTACAAGCTAAAATGAAGGAAAAGCTTTAAACAGCTTTTCCGTTAAACAATTTAATTTCTATATATATATATATATATATACATATATATTTATTTAGAAATGAGTTACTATAATATCCTCTTCGAGATCATCAAGTTCATCGTCGGTTTCCTCAACCGATACCGGCAAGCCATTAATATTGCTATCTATTCCAGTTTTATTAGCTTCGGCTTCCTTCTCTTTCTCTTTCTTATCAAATTCATCCTTTTCTTGTCTCTTAACCTTACGTTGCTAAAAAATGTGAAAAATGAAATTTAATAATTATGATAATAATAATGAATGCATTTTTAAATACCTTTCGTCTATAAAGTATTTCGACAATAACATAACCCACGCAACCTAAAGTCAACACAGCCAGCAATATGTATAATTTCATCCGCGCGCATAGCGTAGTTGCATATGCGTAAGCAATTACAAAACCTGCCGATTCCCAGAGGCGGTAATTTGAAAAGGCGGCCTCTTTGTTACGTCTAAAGAGTAACCCATATAAGCCATTGATTTGCGTTTGCCATACGGCATCTCCTACACCCCATAGGCCGGACATAGCGTAAAATATTATGGGATTATCGGGACTGGGACGCCAAAATAACTCTACACTAATTAAAGTAAAATGTACCACAGCACCCAATACAATAATTGGAGTTCGTCCAATATACTTCATCACTGAACCGAATAGTATTGAGCAGACAGCATTAACGACACCAAAGCATATCATCACAAAACCAATTTGATGTATACCCAAAGCACAGGATACATACGCTTGAGTAAAGTCGGCACCTATAAAAGCTTGTTCCATGCCAATGAACACCGTAATCGGTATAAGTAACTGTTGGTTCGGCTTTTTCATTTGACGAAATGTGGCCGAAAGTAGCTGCATGCCAGATAATTCCTGAGCTGACTGAGAGCCTTTACGTTTCTCACCGTAACGTTTAAGAGGATCCAAGAAAATGGCTATTATCGCTACTGCGGCAAGTATACATGATAAATATATCATAGAGATCTCAAAGATTTCATGCTCCGGTGGGCGTTCCAAATTGCTATGGCCATTAACGCGATGGACACAGAAATTGGCACCACAAAATTGAAGATCTTCAGCTGTGATAGTGTTGTTAACACTACTGCTACTACTGCCGCCACCATGTGCCCCACTAGAGAGCACTGCAATGCGATACCAAAAATAGAAAAATATATCGCTTTAGCGCCTTAATATCGCAAATGTATTATTATTTCACTTACCAAGACTTGAGATTAAGTTTCCCCATAATTCCGCTGTTTGCCAGGCCAAAAAGAAGAAGCCAAAGAATCTTACAATTATCGCATCTACCGCTTGTTCAGTTATTTTGGCATAAACCTGACCCACCTGAGTTAAATAGGTGGCTTTCGAAGCCCACATAGGAGCCGCACCTAAACCGACTAGAATACCAGCTGGTACCAGAGTATAAAATCTATTAATAAGAAGAAGAATGATAAGAATTAATTAATGAAAATTTTTGCTCACTCTCTACAACGACATACCGTGGGAATAACTGGAACGCTATATAAGGAGCGTAGCATAACATACTAAACACCAAAGTCCATTTTACGGTCAATTTGCGTATAATTAATGTAGGCAGAAATATGCAAGAGACCACCAGAGCTGCATAAATGGCGCTCAGCGAAACTGTGCCAAGGCCATCGGTAGCATTAATCGACGATTGCAAATTAGCGGTACCCTGAAATAAGGAGGAGAGCAAGATTGAAATATCAAAGCAATTCCAAAGTCAGATAAATAAAATGTAAATGTTCGAAATCGGCGCAAAGAGAAGAAGAATATTAACGAACGATGTTTTAGTCGAGTCTGTGGAACGTCAAAAAAACTTAGCTACAATAAATTTCGATTGTATCCGTTGAGGAGTTAGTGAAAACATCCGAATCCGAATCCAAATCCGATCAGTTGTCATTGTGGAAAGTGAAAGATCGGCTCAACGGATCATTCGGACGCTTTCGAAAATTATGCGGCGGATAAAGGGGATGAATGTACGCCTCTCTAGCTTGCGATCCTTGTCCGCTTAAAATCGTAAGTACTTCCTTAACATAGCCTTCCAAAAAAAAAGCAAGGCCATCTTTGCTTTGCGCGTATAGACCTCTTCGATGACTATCTTTTAATATCGAAAGAGATTTAATGGGCGACACTCACTCTTTTCCCCATTGCACTTAAATGGTGCTGGCTTTGAAACCAAGAAAAAGAAAAATTTTTTTTTTTTAACTATAAAATGTTGCCAAAAATATTGTTTACCTAATTTGTCTTTTTCGCGTTGGAATGAGAAGAAATCATAAAATAGTGGCAGAGAGTCTAGCACTTCAGTTTTTCAGTTCTCAACAAAACCTCTAAGTAATCAGTTTGTAGTGAAAGTATGCAAACTACCATAATACAAAATAATTGCTGTTTTGCTTAGCTCTTCCTTCTTTCTCGCTGAGGACTTAAAAAGAAAAAAAAAAAAAACCATTGAACATTACAAGTTTTTCGATCCTGCAAAACTATTATTGGACTATGTTTGGGTTTCTTGAAAGAAGCAAGTCAATCGACGCAAGTTATGTAGAATCGGAGAGGTGCACTTTTTTTTTGCATTCCTAAGCATTTGCAGATAACCTGCTTGGCTGCCACTTACCCACAAGTGATGCCAGGATAAAGGGCTAAACATTAATCGATCGGGGTGGCAACAAGGAAAAGGCATACTAACGGTTCGAAATTGGCAAATGGCAAAGCCAGGGTTGGATATCGGTGCCCGAGTTTTCAATGGGATATAGTGCATATCCCAAGCAGAAGATATCGTAAATGGACGAATGATAACATCTAGGTTTGTCTTGAAGTTCTTTGAAGCACTGGATGAGCTAGGCAGGCGCAACGATGTGCACCTAATATGAGTGTCTTGCCATTGGGGTGTTGAGGGTAACGAAGGACTTGTCTAAACCGTGTAGCCGACAGGGGAGCCCGAGAGATTCCGATAGGTTCTGAACTTTTGTCTGTTGGCATACCTAAGCCCTATTAAGAGGCTGACTTCGCAATGGGCACGGAAAATTCGGATTACCATTGGAAGATGTTTGCAGGACAATGGCAAGCAAAAACATTCATAAAATCTTCTGTTATGCAACATAGACTACGGGAAGTAAGGAGAAGTGATCTACATATAATTGCGGGCTTATAATTCCGGCTTATAATTCCTTCAGGTATCACCTGCAAAAATGTGGATATGCATTCATAGCAATTCATTCAGATTTTGCCAAGACGTCCAATCATATTCCATGTGAAGGTGCGGCCATCTGCAGAATCAGAGAGCATTTCATAACGCAGGACATGGTATGCTGCGCCGATCCAAAGAAGTGGGGCGGGATTCATAAGAGTCTTCAAACTGGTGGCCTAGAGGGAACGGCGAATACAATCGATCTTCTAGGTCACGATATGGATTGTCCACGCAATCAATAATACATACGTCCGTACATAGTAGACTTACTCTCTACAATAATTCGTGCAGGGCATAATGATAAAGCAAGTTTATATATATATATATATATATATATATTACATAAGCACTTACCTGAAAGGCTGTAAATTGAACCATAAAAGCAAAAGATATTATGGTGATGTTCTTTAAGATGCGCCATTTCTCTCCCGGATTGAGTATAACTTTCTCTCTAAGCGATGCTGTGTCCGGTTCAAAGCCAACTTTTGGCTATAAAAGAAACGCAATAGACAATAGCGATAATTAAATAAGCAAAGATAAATAAATAAATAAAAAATTAAAATAAAAATAAAAATTTTATATAAAAATCTCTCCTCACATAACAAAAATCTACATAAATCAGATGAGATTTATATGATAAATGTTTTGTTTTATATTAAAGCGAAAAACTAAGAAAACTTTATAATAGAAACTTATTTCATGTATAAGAAATTATGTAATAAAACAACCCGGTGTACTTAACAATGTGTTAACAAATTTTTTCTTTTTATTTCTAACTTGAACTTTTTGAGTTTAAAAAAAAAAAAAAAAAAGGAAAAAGAAAACGCCTTACAAAATAATACGCAAATAACAACGAACAACGTGTATGCACACAATAGCAAGAGAGAGATAACGTGTAACTGGAAAAGAAGTAAAAAAATAGTAACAGATAACAAGCAGCTTATAGCTAACAGTCCATAGCCAACGGTTCGTAGCTAAAGTGAATGAAATTTTCAAATTCTCATTTTAAAAAGCGAAGGGAGCAACGCTTTATTTTATTTATATTTGAAGCGAATTTTGGATACCCATTAATGACTTTCTAATCCACTTTTATTTATTCATTTATTTATTTATTTTATTTTTTATTTTTATTTTTTTTTGCTTTCTGCTTATGATGAGACGATTTCAAGCAAGGATTTTCGATTCATATGATGACAGAAATCGCAAATTAAACCCAAAAATATTAAATAGTTCCGATGAAATCAAATCAAATTTTTTCCGATAGCTAGACAGATATATATATATATATATATGTATGTGTTTATATATATTGTTGTGTAGATCAGGATTATGTTTATTTCGTAACAAAAAATTTTCAAAGTGACATATATATAAGTAAGACGCGGAAGATTGAAGTCAGCATAAAAGACAAGAGCTGCCGAAGCAAGTAAAGAAATATGTACAGTGTATGGAGCAGAGCGAATTTGCCAAACTTGCTTACTTGCGAAATTTCGTTCTGGAAATTTTCAATGGAAACTTTATCGATCTCTGGTAGGTTGGCTAAATACCATTGATGGGGACCAACTAACGGTTGATCGACATATAAGAGACATTCATGAGATTGCAGAAAAACTTAATTCATTCAAAAGATGCATAAATGAAAAAAAAAAAAAAAAAAAACTATTTTGTTTCATGGTGAAAAATTCGCAAAAAAATTTCCGGACTACCTAATATGTTGCGATTTTTTTAACACAAGCGAGTGAAGCTTTTTGGTGTTTTTTTGTTTGGTTTTGTTTTATCGACTTTCAGATTCAGACCAACGAACAACAGACTAATAATTGGACAGTGATCAAGGGTTTATCTCATTTTCATTTTCATTTTCATTCTTTTTTTTTTTTTTTTATGTTTCAAATTATTCAAATTCATCATCCATTTGTCGAAGAGTTCATGTCTCAAAAATGTTTCCCAATTTCTCGAATTTCCAAGATTGTAATTGGTAGACGCATCGTTATATATATATATATATATATATATATATATATACGCTTCATATGCGAACGGTAAACGTGTACGTGAAAAGAGGTAAAAGCACATCAAGGTCTATCGATAATATCGATAGTACTTTTCGGCAGAGATTTATGTCTCTGACGCTTCTTTCGAATGTTAGGAACGGAATTTCAAAACCTTTTGCACCGTTAAAGTTTGATGATAGGCGGAAAGAAAGGAACTATTGCGTCTAATCATAAGTAAGTACCGATGCAGCGAGATAGAATCTATTGTTCGTATTCACCCAGTATAAGTCACCGAAACAAAGGAGTTTCGCATGAGGATTCGGTTAGTCTTCTGTCAACTGCAGTTTTACGCAGTGAATCTTACAATCAATTGTTTTCCTTAACCTCTGTAATGGAGGGTCAAACAGTGCATATGCGACATGTAATGCTTTGCAATAGCGCTAAGGTGACATCTTAAAAACTATGCAGCGTATACGGTGAAGAGTTGATAACTGATCAGGCAATTAGAAGGTGATTTGTAAAATTCCGTTATGAAGATACGACCTTAAGAGGCGGGACGTCCTTCCGAGCAAAATCAACAAGAGACGTAGAAAACAAGATGAACGAAAACAATATAAAAAACGATAGTTACTTATGACTCGACCTAATATGAGTATATATTTTAGACTTTAAATTAAATTAAATTTCTTGATAATCGGGTCTCTTTCTATTCATTTCAACGAATAATAGTGCACATGTTAGGACATAGAACGCGCACATATTAAGAGATAAAATTTGTAAATGATTTTTTGAGGATTGTTAATATTATTATTTATTGTTGCGTTACAAGAGACCATCATCATCAGTCTATTGTAAATTTTTGGCATTATAATCAATTATGCAATTCGCGTTATATGCACAATTGCATGCATAGATAAACAACTGTATGGCATATATTTAAACATCTATCATCTAATCTTTGCATAAAAATTTCCTTCTACACTAAATGAATAGTTTAAAAGAAAAAAAAATTCAAAAGAATATATACATAAGACACACACACACACACACACACACATATATATATATATATATATATATATATTTATGCAATATGTTGGAAAATTTCTCTCTAATGTCACATCAGATTGCATCGTATTGACGTTCATTTAAAAAGTGACAGACATATCAATCTACAATTTTCCGACAGATCGCTTACTATATAGTTAGGTATTAGGTGCACTTATTTCGATCATTTTTCTCTTCACTTGAAAAAGGTATTTATTGAGAAAAATCGATAATGAATATACATATGTATATTAATGAAAATATTCTCATAATTTTCTAAAATTTTTCCCAATCTTTCCCGCAACTTGGGAACGATCCAATCATCGACACATTTTCGCAACTTCTTCAGCGCTGGAGCGATACGATAATCAGAAATCAAAATTCTTCTCAGTCTTTGTATCTGCTTTCAACTCTTCACAGATTAATCATTTTCCTCATATATATATTTATATAACGTTGTATCCTTTGCCATATCCTGCAAGATATGTAAGCCCAAGAAAAAAATTGTTGTGTGAACGGTGAACGAGGTGCTTAATTGAATGCGATGGCATGTAAACGGCGGCCAACACTTATCAGCCAGTCGCTATGTTCGCTTTAATCGAATACAATCTACCACTACAACTAGCGTATAAAGGCTGAACTTCCGAATTTCCAATGAAGCTTTCATAAATATTTCACTTTTGCAACTTACATGACTTGAGCTACATGTTAATTTTAGAGAATCTCTTTCTACCACTGTATTATCGTCATGATATTCACACAATTCATAATTGCGGACATTGCTGACTAATTCGATTTAATGTTACCTGTAATAAGCTCAGTACTTTTGTACTGTGGACAAGATTGTTTTGTGTAACCAGTTCCACATTTACTCTACAAAATTTAAATCAAGAAGATTTATGCCTCTTCGGGGCCTTACAAAAGCCGACAGCTGTGGATCGGCACTTTGGAGGTACATGACTGCTGATCTTGAGTTGAGTAAAAATCTCTAATCAGAAATACTAAAGATGATATCAATGATCTTTTCGTTTCCTATAGCAATAGTTATGATAAGTAAGAAAATCGCAGGCGACTAAGGTCAAATCTTGTGTACACATTACTGTTCATTTCATTTTCGATGCCCATTTTCAATACGGAACGGCGTACAAGAATTTCCAATGTTTCTATCGAATTTGAAATTTATATCTAGAATTTTATGGCCAGGAGAGCGTCAGCAATACTAGACCACACAGACGAACAGGCATGACCAGAGAGATTCAATTCAGAATTTCACGGTTTATCTGAAGTTTCTGTTTGGCTGTGACAAACATTATGAAAGAATCCCCCAGTGGTTGCTACAAAAACTGTTTTGAACAATTTCCATATATTTTGGACTGCACTCCAAAATAATAATAATAATAATAATAATGAAAGCAACGTTTATTCTCTCGCTATTTGGATGCTTCACTTGCCAAATCGATTAACGCCATAAAACAAAAAGTTGAGAAATATGTTAAAATATTGTAAATAAATTATTTATTATTCAGTGGTCAAAACGATTTTGTCATTTAGTGGTGTTAGTACTTATTATTAGAGAAATTCGTTTTGCATATATATTGCGAGGAGCCAATGAAGTGCTTTGATATTAAAATTGAATAAAATTCCAAAAATGGACTTAATCGATTTGGCAAGTGAAGCAAGCAATTTATCAAAATAAATCTCTTTCGTTTAAAAATTGCAAGCAACCACTATAACGATTTACCAAGCACACACACGAACAAACGTATGTAGTAAGGTACATAAATTGCATTTATCATTGCATTAAATTTTAGGTTAAGAAAATACTGTTATCTGTCCTTATCTTAAACAACGATGTTCTTGATGGGCATCATTTCTAAATTGATATCAAAAATTGAAAGATTAAGTCCTGCAGCTTACAGATTCCGTATCGACGTTAAATCGCAATTTTACAATTCTACACGTTGTAAGCAAAAAGCAAAAAGAACAAGTAAAAAAAATTATAGTCGGTGGTGATCGAATCGATTTTATCTATCCACTGCCGTTGTAATGAAAAAGTTAAAAAAAATGAAAGAACTAAATTTTCATTCTCTATAATGTGGACTGGGCCGAGAGTGATTTATTTTTATTTTCAATATAAAAGCTTTTTTCGTATAGATGTGTGGGCGTTGTAGGCATGTCCCTTGAAAAGTCTTAGTCACTTGCAAATTCCTTTGAAAATTTCTACGGGTTAATGATGATGATACATAAATATTAGATAGTTAGGCAGACGGACGGATGGACCGACAAACAGACAAAAATTCTTATATGCATTTCAAATTCAAAACTGCTTAAGAATTTTTATATACTTTATGGGGTTTTTGGGTTACCGCGCAGAAGCGCGGTATAAAAAAAGAACCTGAAACTTCCTTCTGGTCGTTGTAAACGTTTTGACAAAATAAATAGACCGGCACA